AATACACTGCTGAAAATTCTGAAGTCATAACCCTTTGGGTCTTATAACAGGAGTCAGCTTATAGAGTATCATGAGCATCAGCTAGTTCCTGAGATCCTATATGTCAGGGAGCAATGAGGGCTGACTGCTCCCTAAGGGCTGGGGAGACCCAAGTAGGACAAACCTGCCAGGAGGTGATCAAATGGATCTGAACTGAAATGGGACCCCCAAGGGTGTGGAAGGCCCCGGGGACATTGGGCAGTGCCAGTAAGGGCTAGTGGTGTCCTCATGGTCCTGAGAGCATCCTTCTATAGTATTTTTAGTTTTGAGCATATTGTTATTATTAAAACCTCTATGTAACTGTAAGAATGTTCTTACTATGCTGCTTCTTGTTATCTACAGCATAATTTCTGAAATAACATCACAAATAATTTACCACCCCTTTTCTGAAGAACACATTTTACATAGCAGTGGAGAAATAGAAGTTCAAGTGTTCTGTTAATGCAGTGCATATGTAGCCCACTATGCTTAATATAAAATTATATCAATTTTTTAAAGAAATTATTAACAAATTAGTAACTTCAGAGACATTTCTGTGTCAATGTGTCATGCATCAGAGATAAAATATTATATGTCAGTACAGAATTTAAGTCAGAAGAAATTATATTTGAGGTGAAAAGTTCTTACTCTGATACATGTGATTCATTAAAAATGTGGGAATCCCACAGAAAATTAGATTCCCCAAATAAAATCTTTTGCCTCAGATGTTTTATTTTAAAACATTTGGCTTAGAAATAGACCTTTGCAAGACATGAGATTCAGCTATTTTATTTTTCACAGCTGAAAAGTGTTCCCTATTAAGATAAATGAGTTCAGAAATCATTTCCAGACAAATTAAAATTGACATAGTCCCAGTATCTGAATTTCTTTGTTCTTTTTGTTTTTTCACATTTGCAAAGCATGCTTTCAGTTGTCCTGTAAATGGGCAGTATAGCTGAAGGAAAGCAGCTTTCCATTAAGGAACTGGCTGCCATTGGTGTGCATGAAGAATACTTTAAAAATCATCACATGCACACTATGACTTATTCCACTTCAAGATTATTCACTGGCTTTGCTGTATACATGAAACTGTTCTTGTAAGTGCTTAACAAATAGAGGTAATCTCAGAGCAAATTTATATAGCACACTAACTGCTGTGATTAATTCATCACACATTCTTGTAGTTCAAGTTAGAATTGTAAGAAGTGAGAAAGAAGCCGTGTTTGTATGTATGTTATACAAAATGAAGAAACAGTGGAGAAAGATCTGAATTGCCATGCCAGAAAGGGGGTGGAAAAAGATCAATTCTCCAGTTACAATTTTTTCGCATGCACTTTTCACTATATAAATAATTTCATAATATAAAGTTCAGATTGTAATATTGGGCTAATTGTTTAGGGATTATTTTATTCCAAGACCAAATAATACTGGCAATCTGAAAGTGACCTGTTTCCTGTACCTCAGGAAACTCTGTGTTCGTGTCCTGTACCGCAAGTTCAGGCAGCAAGAACAGCTTCTGAACTCAGGGGACAGAGGCTGCAACATGGCATGGCCTTTTCCAGGGGTAGAAAGTTGGGATGAACGAGAGAGATTTGCCTTTCTATTCTTTTTCTCATGCACTCAAATTAACTCAGTGTCAAGAAATAATATTAAGTGATGAAGAACTTCAAGGATGTTCCTTGGAGTTGCTCATGATAACTTTTACACTGCATGTATATAATTATATTCTAAATATGGAGCATGTCTGCTCCTGATATTGATAATGCTGAGGTACAGAAATACACAGAGCTCATTTTATAGCACTACATTACTTCATTACATGCAAGGGAAAAATAGCACTATGTTCCTTTATTACCTGCAAGGAAAAATGTTCTTTATATTCACCTCTAAATGGAAGATCTGATATATAGTTGTATATTGTCAGCAACAAAAATAATAGAACTTTGTCCCTTTTTTTCATGTGTGTTTTTTTTGTCAGGTATAACCTAAAGCCTTCTGCATTAAGTAAATATACAAAAATTATTTACTAATATACCAGTCTGATTTTTTGAATAGTTTTTCAGCTGTTGGGTGACATCAGCCTAGAAAATTATATCAAGAAAGTTACTATACTTGTTCCTAGGCTTGTCTGACTTCAGAACAGATCTTTATTTCCAAATACTTCCACGGTATATGGAGAGCTTAATCATGCAACTTTTATTTATTTTCTTTGTGTTTATGTATTCATCAAAACTTTTTTTTTAAATTTCAAGTTTGCAGGAAAACAGTGTGGTGACATACCTTTATCTCCCTCTGAAATCTGAATGTAAAGTATTTTGTGTATTATCAAGTCTATTAAATTTCAAGCTGAGGTTCCCATCAAAAGAGGAGCAGATCTATTGATCCAAAGAGAAAATTATCCAACATTTTAATGTTGTAGATATACTTGTATTCAGATGACTAACACTCATCTCACTTTATACTCATCATACAGATCTATAATTCCACTGATTTCAGCCAAGTCTTCTCTGAGTTGCTAGCTCCTCTGAGTAGACTGCCTTTGAATTCCTTGAACTTTTGCCTTTAGACACTTTCTGTGGAAAACAGTACAGAAAAACAGGGTAGATAAGTTGCCAGAGTGCTTAAACTGATAGTAGTTTTGCCACTGGCTTTTCTTTATTCCAGAATTTAAGCTTGCAGCTCTATATCTGACATTCAGGAACTAAGTGTATATAGTTTTAAGTTCTTAACTTCTTCATCCCTCTTTTTATCTTTCTAATAAGACAAGGAAAGGAGAAAAAAGAAGGCTTGGTACCTAAACTTTCATCATCCTGTACCTGAGAATTTGATACCCAAGGTCTTCATTTACAATTAGAAACCTTCATATTGGACTATGAACAGTGTTTGGAAGTGTAAGTTACCAAACCCTTAGCTGAGCAGGCAAAAATAGGCATGGCAGTACCCTCCCTTGCTAAGGTTGAGATTATTCTACTGAGAAGACTCTTCTCCAAATACTGCCTAAGTGAAAAGGACTTCTTAAAAATATACTTTGGCCATGCAGCTGTCTGTCAGGACAGCTCTCTTTCCCAGAGCAGCAGTTGCATGGACTAATGATCTTCAAAGGACCATAAGGAAAGTAGAAATCAAATCAAGTGTTGAGGAAAAGGTCCTTAGCAGCTGCTTTTGTTGCCAGAAGCTCCCTTGATTACATCACATGTTTAGCTCAAACCAGTCACATTGAACACAGTGTCTCACTGATAATTATAGTTTTTTATCTAGAAAGATGGGCAAGCCAAACAGTGACTTTCGTCTGCCAGATTCCATGATGCAGAGTTAATTGGCAGGATGTTAGAAAGGTCATAGCATGGTCCAGTGAGATATGAAACACACCTGAACTCTTAAATTAGCTCAGAATAATTTCAGACTTCCCAGGGAACTGAGCATCATTTACAGTTAATAATCATAGTGAAAACAACTAGGAAGAGTTTCTTGCAGAGGAAAGCCCTTCATTCAAAGGAAAAGATTGTAAGGTATAAAAATTTTAAGTGCAAACCTGATGCATGATTCAGGTAAAATTAAATGTTTATATATGGCTCCTTAACTCCTTTCCTTCTCTTCTTAAAAAACTTTCAAGAACAGGAAGAACCAATATATGTCACACATATACATACATGCACACGCGAGCACACACACACACACACACACACACACACAAGTCTATCTAACCTAGTATGCTCAATCCAGGAATAACCAATAATAGATGTCCAGGGAAGAATCTAAGAATAAAATGAGTATATAATTTTCAGAAATATTTTCCTAGCCCTTAGTCGTTCCTACCTAAGGCACCTCCCTGGCTATTTCTGTCAGGTGTCTTACTGGTGTTGGCTAAACCTACCTAAGCATAGGTAAGTGCTAGCAAACTGCCAGAAACTTTGATATACCCATGGTCTCACTTCAAGCTTCAGGGGAAGAACAGTGTGGTATCAGGTGATGTCTCTTTGATACCATTCAGTGTGGTATCAAAGTGCCTCTCTGCCACAGCAGCCACCAGCATAATTTTCCCTTCTCTCATGCACTCACCCCCCTTCAGTGAGAGCATGATCAGTAAGCTCTTTTTCTTTTTTTTTTTTTTTAGGTTGGGTTTCTCATGGCTCTCTTGAAGTTCTTCCCCTTTCCCATGCATCCATACTTCCCCTGGAGGAGTGGATCTGGCTCCTCATTCCTCAGGAAGCAAAATTCAATTCTGTCTTCATTTCTGAAATTCTTTAAATTGGCTTTGCATGCAGGATAAGCCTACATGTGTATATGTAAACATTCCTCAAAAGCTTAAACCTAGTAAGATGCTGATAGCAATGTAGTCATGCTACAAACTGACTCCAAAAATGTTAAGACCATATTTAACGTCATACAATATTTGTCTTCATGTTACATCTGCTTGATCACTAATAGTACCTGCCAGGTACTATTTGCAGTGGGTCAGGGGTGTCTGTTGTATAACCTCCTTTCAGTGCTCTCTTTCTTTGTTTTTCGAGAATGATGATACCTTTTACCTTCAAAGAAATGCATAGCTGCGTTTTTAAAGTTTTTAGTAAGTGGAATCCAAATACTATAGGTTATATAGAATAACAGAATAATGTAGTTTTGGTTAGGTAGTTAGAAAAGTATGTTAGCAATATATGGAAAAAGCTAATGGAACAGGTTTGTGTTAAGGCTGTTTGAATTTGTAACTTTGTAATATCCTCAGGAAATAAAGCCCAATTTATATAAATTAATTTCAACTCTGATTTCTAAAGCAGGGACTCTATGCACAAAGGTTTTAAGCTTAAAATAGTATTATTGTTATTCTTTTATATAAAAAAATGACTTGTAAAATACTTTATGAAATTATTAAATAAGCTGTTATATTTGACAGAACTCCCCTCTCAGCATGCATGTTTATATTTTAATTTAATTCTACCTCAGTTTTTTGTTCTCTCATTTATTGTCTTATACATGTTTCCCAGGATAGCCCACTGGTGTTACAGTCTGACAGAAATGTAACAGTGAATGCAAGAAATCACATGGGACAGTTAACTGGACAACTGACAGTAGGTGAGTGTTCTTTATTGACTGTTATGTCTATCAGTTCAGCTTTATGAATAGGCTTCATTAATTAACATCAGAGATAAAACACTGCTGAATAGTCAGGAAAAAAAAAAAATCTCATCACCATACCCAAATGAAAAACAATGCGTACAATGGATCATAAGAACATGATTCAGCATTAGCTAAAGGCAGAGAGAGAAGTGTCTCAAAATAGTTAAAAAAGCTTAATAAAAAAATATTTTTTTTGAGACAGCTATAACAAAACAAACCAGAAATACCCCTCTCAGCAAAACATGTTCCAACAACAATTTCAGTGGGAAAATAACCATCATTTTCTTACAAGTTCTGTCAGTCTTCCATTATATCAGTGGGAATTGATTTGTCCCCAATACTCTTGCAATGTATTTCTATCAGCATATATTGAAAACAGTTGGAGTAACATGTGAAAAAAAACGGAACAAAACAAAAATCCAAATGCTTTCCTAGTCACTCCAAAATTTAAATGGAAAGTTATCATGCTGCCAGTCATTCATTAAAATGGTGTCTGATACTTTGCAAAGTATAAAATATTGCAAATCAAAGTTCTAAATGAAATTACAATAAAATTCCTCTACTTACCCGTTCCTCTTTTCATATATTTTCCCAGCTTTTATTGGTTGCCATGTTATACTGTGTTTTTAACACAAATCACACTTACTGTGTTAGTAAATATGAAGTAATATTTTTCTATATTTTCAGTACTAGAACAGTAGTGAAGATATTCAGTGCTTTTTAAGATTACTGGCCAAAAAAGTCTGTACAAAATAATGTTCTAGATCTCTTATAAAACAACACATATTGACTGGGAATGGGATGAAAAATACACAAACACCTGTGTGTAAGATACTAATGTATATATAAATCTGAAGAGATCCCTTAAATTCTGCGTCTTTTCATTTTTTTCACTTCTATATAAAGCTGTGTTTTTTCCACTCTTTCCTCATGTGCTGAGGATATACTCACAAACACTTAATAAGTTAAACTCTAGTTGTAATCAACACTGAGCTTTCATACTGGCTGGAGACAGAGGCTTCAAGTTGTAAAAAATCTTTGGCAAGTGACATGCCATCTGCACTGATTTCCCTGAATGACCACGTCAAATGAGTGTGCAAAGGTAACCAGACTTGCTAGCAGATACAGATCAGGAAAATTAAGCTAACACCTGTTCTAGCCATATTGTACTTGCCCAGTGTGTTTATAGAACACAGTTTTGTTTCATCTAGTAGCTGTATTATTAAAACTTTCCACTTCAGCTGGTAATTGCTAAAAGGTGAGTTGCCCATGGCAAACATTTGCATTGGCTGAAATACCTATGATATTTTGATTGCCGACACCATTCCTGCTGAGTGAATCCGTCACTGAAACTATGTCGATGTATTGAGACTGACCTATTTAAAGGCATCACACTAGAGGTTAATATTCTAAAAACATAAAGGCCTGAAGAAAACATGTGTTCTTATGTCACCATCATTACAGTGAACACCTGTAAGTTTCTTGGTGTGCAGTTGGTGCAGAGTGGAAGTTTGTTAAATTACAATATTGTATTTATATTCTTTCTTATTCTTTATCTTCCTTTTCTTTTTCAGAATGTCTACATGGTCTTTATTCTTTCTAATATTAATATGAATATCTACTTTTTTATATTTTATAAATTTCTCATATAGTACTCAATGCATATTAAAATATTCCTAATTTTCTTATTAATTATTTGATATTTCTTACTTAGTAGAGGCACTCATAGCTACCAGTACAATCAGCAAAAACCTGAACATTATACTATTGGAAATCAAAGAAATGGACACCTAAAATTCAAAATGTATTATTCTTGCCATCCCTTGCAAAATTTTTTTTTTTGTGTAAGGCAGAGAAATTTTTTATTTTGTCTAGTTAAGAGCATGAAAACATCTGGTGAGAGATGGGGAGGGCACTTTCTATACCAGGTTTGCTGACATCAGAAAATATTTCTTCCTATTAGCTGTAAATATGCTCTGGAAAGTCCCTGCCTCCTTCACAAATGGTCTGTGTCCCTTCACTGCTGCTGCATGCTGAAGCAGCTATCTGTGTGTGGTTGCCCAATGAAAGGGATGAAAATAAACGGTGGAGGAAGCAGTGAAGAGAAATATTTTTAAACTACAAATAGAGTAAATTATTATGCCGTGGGGAAAAAAATCTAATTAACAAATTTGAAATGTTCTTATCTGTTAACTTATTTTAAAAGTTTAGTAATAATTTTTTCAAAACACTATAAATTTATAGGCATGGCAGAAGTGTTCTGAAAAGAACGCAGGATGCCTGTGCATTCAGGTGAATGAAAATGCACTTCCTATACATGTGATGTCATTGGCATTTTATCTGTATTTCACAGGACATAAGTGATATTACAAAGCCACAAATAGGCTGATCTCTTGTCTTTGACATTCAAATTGCTGGTCATGTCAAATTTTAGAGCAACTGAAAATTCTCTGGTATTTGGAACTGTGCCACAGAAGACCAACACAGCCTTAAGAGCATCTAATTAAAACTGTAACTGGAAGATAGATTAATATGAAGAAGTGTGAGTGGGGTCGGAAGAAGTCTATATGATCCCCCAGGGAGATGGAAAAACTGCAGTGAAACTCTTGATAAAAGTATTCTATTCTGTGAGTGACTATGAAAGACAAAATATTTCTGTAAAGTGCATCATTAAGACATCTTGAAGCACATCTTAATCTAGGAGGAGAGAAGCAAAAGTATATATATAAAAAAAGGATAGTGAAGAGTACTGGATGAATCAGTGGTTACGTGTTTAAGTGGTGTAAAGTCAAGTCATGGCTCTAGGTCTTACAATAGCAAGGATATATCCATTATTACAGTACAATATATTTATACTGACACTGAAAACTGTATAGCGAGAAAATCACAAGTGTAGCAATGCTTTCTGTTGGGTTCTATACCAACTGAGTGAGAAATGCTTGTGCTCCGGTCTACTTATGACATATGATTGGGAAACTGCCAAATCAAATTTTAGACATGTGATTTAAGAAGACCAACAGAGCAGACATAGCACAGACATAAAGTGTATCTATAAAATAAAGATGTAAAGATGACCATACAAAAATCAATGGATCTAAGCTGGATAAGGGCAAGTAATCATACCTCTCCCCTCCCAACCCTTACTTAGCAATACCCTTTGCATTATGCATTCTACTAAATTACCTTGACACAACCTTTTCTCTCTGTTTAGTCAATGTTTGCATAGTTTAAAGCTATATGGAGAAAGATCTACTTCTTTTCTGCCAAATGCACAGTAGTTGCTAACCTCAAGCCAGAAGTTTGTGGTCTCCGTGCTGTCTGCACAGATCATACATTCATCTGCCTGGTTTTGAGTGGAGGACATTAGGCTGACAAGTGCTAAAGGGATCAAAATTAAATATGGCTGAAAGGAGACATTTGAAACCCACAAGTGTAGTTACCATAACTTCATCCTCAGATTTGATTATTACCTCACCAACTTTCTCATTTATTCATGAGGGTTTTTCTCCTTTCTTTTTTATTGCTGCAATAATTGCTTGTGACAGGTATTTCTGCTATTGCTTGACCCTTTTCCATTCATAAAGGTCCTTGGGGATATCTGAAACATGGAAAAAATGTGCACTTCATTTTTGCTGAGCTTTGGGCTCTTTAAGACAGTGTCGTAACTCTCATAGAAGTCCAGAGCTGTACAAGTCACACCTTTAAAAAGCTCCTGAACTTGTAGCTCTACTCGCTAAGATCTCTAGAGCCATGCAAATTGAGAAAAATTATTTGAACTTCAGTGGAAGTTATATCACAATTTTGCAACTACTTTTTGAAAATAGCAGGCAGATGTATAATTTTCAGTTATAGTACTAGTAAAGACAGATAAGAGTACTAAAAAAAAATAGCTACTGAAATAACCTGTAAAACTTGATGACACTTTCCATCTATTTACCACAAAATCTGTGTTGTGTATTCAAGACTTTTTTCTTAAAAATGTGCTTGCTTACTTGCTGTATTCCACCAAGAGTACATTGGGTATTGTGCAGAAACTATTGGCCATTAGAAACTACAGGTATGTAACCTTGTGGGAGTGGAAATAGTCCCATTCATCATTCTTACCTATATCACATATGCTAATCACATATGCTTACCAGATAACACATCCTGCTACACCTTCATTTCGGAGGTGATCAAAGTACTCATTAACTAAATGTTGCCTGTGATGCTCCCTTTACAATATCTAGACATCAAAGAAGATCTGAAGCAAGAGACATGTCAAGCATTCTTGTGTTAAAATTACCTGTGGTAGAACTTTTAATAATATGCGTGTACATGTGGCTCTAAATCTTTGATATCTATTGTCAGACATTTACTTATTTAAGATTATTGTGAACTGGAAATAAGTATCCATCAAGACAATGGACATAATAACATGCTTAAATAACAACAGAATGAGAAATATTTCTACATTTTTTAATCTTCTTTGCATACATAGCAGTCTGAAATGTAAGGTCTTTTCTCCTAAGTATTGCAGGAAGAGGGTAATTTCAGAGTGGTCATACGCCTATGCCTTTTCCTCACATTAGGAAACAGGAACAAAAGGACTCAACTCCTCTCTTATTTGTATGGTTATTCTTGTATTGTTGATATTAGGGTGCTAGGGAGAGAAGGAATGATGTTGTTTTACAATCCGGTGTTAGCTGTTTCTACCCTTCAACTGGGCAAATACTGATCAGTACTTAATTGTCAGGAACATGTAAAATAAAGCCTTTCTCCTTTCCCTTACAGGGAAGTTTGCCTAACTGTAGTCCCAAACTACAGTGAAATTTCAAAAATCTAAAATATATTAAAAATTTTGCTAGTTGAATTTTCATATTAAAGCAATTGCTTATGTAACCACTGTGGTGCAGCAGGATTATGAATATTGCTAAGAAGACATGCTGAAAAAACAGTCAGGTAAATGGGTTATC